CTCTGGGGCCAAAATATCTAGTTGTCATGGAAGCACCCTGGAGCTGTGCATTGCCCCTTCTTAGGATAATTAATATTCTTTGCACAGAGGCTGCAGAGCAGTGGGTAAATTCAATTGATAGCTCAGAAAAAAAAGGCCAAGGGACACCGAGGCTGCGGGGGAGCAGAGAGGGTGGAGACGGGACACGGGCTTGAACCTGTGTTGTTACCAGGAATTGCCTTTTCCAAGAAAATCTGCTTGTGATGAAATCCTGGGTGCTTTTTGCAGCTGCTGCGAGGCCGTGAGATGAGGGTGGGGGGGTGTGCAGAGACCCGAGCGTCGGGCACAGCTCAGTGCTGCGACTCGTCTCACGCTTCGGGGTTTCTGGCTGCAGGGACCAGCTGCTGCCGTCTTCAGGGGTGCAGCAGGGATGTGACTCGCTTGCGGAAAATATTTACAAATCAGTCACCACCACCCTCGCTGGCTCCTCCTGCCTTCAGGGCACTTCCCCCTCCTCGTCCCCCGCCGTGGCCGTGGCACACGCAGCTTTTGTAAGCCCCAGCACAGTGTGCTGACCCCTGTGCACTTCCTCGTGCTGAGCAAAAGGCAGAGTTATTTATTTCAACGGAGGACAAAATTGCATTTGCAATTTTCTTTGCAAAACCTGTTGTCACACTTGCACTTTTACTGTCTTTTATTTCAAGTACCCGACGTCCCTCCTGCGGGGCAGGTCCAAAGGGGATGGCAGGGAGAGCTCTTGCCCAAGACAAGGATTTGGAGCAGGAGCCAGCGTCAGTGTGGATATCACGGTGGCACCCAATGCAATTTCTCCTGCAACTCACCCTTTGCAGGGCTCCTCTTTTGGGAGAGCAAGTAGCAAGACACGGGCGCCCTGATGCGGCCGGTCCCCAGGGCAGGAGGAAGAACGAGGATGTTTAGGAGGAAACATTCAACTTCGGAGGCGGTTACTGCAGGAAATGCTTCGGGGGGCACCACATTTGCTCTTCGTGGCTCTTTTCTGCCCTGCGAGAGCGGCAAGGAGGAGCGGGGCCAAGCGTGGCAGGGACGCGTTGGCGAGGGAGGAGATGACGGCAAGTGCTGGACCACCCTGGCGAGAGCCAGGGAAAAAGCTTCGCCCCAGCCCCGCATAAAACCTTCAGCTGCTCATCACATGTGGGCTGGGCGTCGCGCCGGCCACAAAAGGTGGAAACTCGAAAAGTGGTGAGGGAGGGAGCCACAGCCTTGGTCGATCTGGGCTTGCGAGTGCAGAAAACTTTCCGCTGGGCAAAAATAGCCTCGCTGTCTGCCAAGCCACGCTCCCCACCCCAGCTCCCTCCCCACGCCCCCGGCGGTGGGGACGGCGGTTGGGGAGTGCTCCCTTCGTGGGTAAGAAGCATCCTGCAAGAAACTGTAGTTTTGGCCTTAACTTAATTTTCCCTCGTGCCGAGGGAAAATGCACCTGCACGTTCGCGCTGGTGCACGTTGATGCGCGTGAGCGCGGCTGGGCCATCGCTCAGCACAAGCCTCTGGTTGCACCTCGAGTCTGGCGATTCAGAAAAGAAAGGGGGACCCGAGTGCACCCCTCTGAACCCACATGGCTTATGCATCTGGAAAAAGCTGCAAAGAGGGAGAGGATAAACCTTATTTCCAGTAAGAATTGGGCAATTTAAGCTCAAGGCTGAGAGCAGGAGGAAACCCTGGGTAGCAGTGCCTGCTGGGTCACTTCCTTTCCATGGTGCAGGGCCCTGATGAGCTTAGAGGGAGATTAATATCTCCGATAAAAGGGAGTAAACCGTTGCATTTTTAATAAAAGACATGATTTCTCCTTTCAAGTCTTGTGCTGCTGGAATACCAGTGCTGCTGGGCTGAGCCCTTTGGGGAAGGCTGAACATGGAGCTGGTGGATGGAGACACATCCCTGTTTTCCACCCATTTGGGTGTGAGTCGGACCCTGTAAGCTGCATTGCAGCAGCTTCACTTCAGGTTAAGCCCTTGCGGTCACCGGTGCTTGGCACGGAGCCCTCCCCCTGCAAACGTTAGTGCCAATTAAACAGCGTGAAAATCAGCATCTCTGGTTCATCCATGGGGAGGTGAGGTCCTGTGATCAGATGGGAGAACACACAGCCAAATTTGGGGAAGCACCGGAGCGCTGGCTCGTCGGAGCGCTGCTTTCTGCAGAACACGGCTGGTTTGGAGCCAGCCCGCTCAAGGTTTGCTCTTCGGCAACGGGCTGTGGTTTCTGCAGAGCAAAGCGCTTGCGGGAGGCAGCAGCTCCCTGCACCCAGTAGCCTCCATCCTCCCGGCGGCTGCTCCACCCCTGCAGATCATTCCCCAAAAATCCTCACCCCCGAGGAGTCGGCGGCAGCTGCCAGACATGAGGGAACATGATTTAAGGCGAGGAGCGATGCTGCTTGCGAGGAGTTTACGGAGAATCATATTCATGTTTGTGAGATTTGAGTAGGGCAGATGTTTTGGCAAAGAGCAAAGAAGCTGCCTGCAGCTTGAGGTGCAATTTGGAAACCCCATTTTGGTTTTTGCACCAGGGTAATCCCTGGGACCAGCGTTTTCCAGGGGAGCTGGCTGGCAAACCCCTTCCGAAGGTCCTTGCTTGCAACCACATCCTCCGCACGGGGCATCCCACATCAGCACACGTTGGGACACCAGCTGCATCCTCACTGTGTTTTGAAGACTCGTTTTTGGATTCACAATCCGTTTTGATTTTTGGAGAGGGATTTGCAATCCTGGGACAGGTTTGTAGTGGAGAGGTGAGCTCAGAGTGCCCGGCTCCAAAGGATGAAGGCAAAAGGCAGTGGGGTTTCTTGCTCCAGGGGATTTTGGAAGGGGAAGCTGTGCATTCTCTTGACCTGCAGCACCCCGACCTCTGAAGCAACTGCAAACCGCTTGGCACCGACTGCAAAATGTTTTGCAGGCTCATGTCCTGGTGGGCATCTGTGCAGCGGGAACACCCACTCAGGCGCGGGATGCATCCGTCCCAAACATCACAAGGCAGCGGCGGGTGATTTTTAATTTTCTCCTTTTTTAAACTTGTCCTTTGCACTCAGGTCCACGTCAGGGTTCATCGACGCTCGTATCTCACGCAGCTTTCGCAGCTCTCTGCTCCGCTGACCAGCTCGGGGAAAAGTGGGCATCTGGGGGCAGAGATACGGGGCTGCCGCAGCTTCCCCCGTCCCACGGCATCGCACCGCCCCTCCTCCCTCGTGGCCCTGGCTCAGCTTGAACGGCCTCTGCTCAGCTCAGGGGCCCGAATCCTGCCCCACTCTCACCCACAAGACCCAGCCAGGTGCCATCAGCTCCATTTTACCAGGGGAGACGTAAGACTCCAGGAAATCACTACGTGCAGAGATCAGTGAAGCTGAATTCCCTGGAGTCATCTAACTATTTTTGTCCTGCGACCATAAATGCTAACCCTACCCAGCTGGGCTGGCACTGAGGTCCAGCAGTGCCCAGTCCAGAGGCAAAACCCAAAGTATCCCATCTGGGAACAGTCCCTCCCAAAGCATCCACTATCACAGAAGCATTTAGTGGTGCCACAGGGCTGCCTGTCCCTGGAAAAGGCAGTGGCACCAATGGCTCTTGTCTATGCGATGCAAACAGGAGACAGGGCTCTGCCCAGCTGGTACATTCACACCAGCAATTTTTCACCTCTTGGAGACTTTCCAGCCTCACTGTGTGAGAATTGCCCCATTGGAAGCATCAGGCAAGGCTCTCCCAGAGCAAAACTCCAGTTTCCAAATAATTTGGTTTTTTTTTCAAGCCAGGCTGGGACATTCTGCTATCACTGCTGCAGGCTGTTTGGGGTGGATATAAATACACACTCCCATTAGAAAAAAAAAAAAAAAAGCTAATGATTTTCTTCTCACTTGCAAGACAATTACTCCCACGCAGGAAAAAGGAAGCACATACTGCCAGATACTGCAGCCACTTCCTTTATAAACTCTAGCCAGTTTGCTCGGCGGAGGGGCAGAGAGCCGCTCTCGCCGTCGTAGCTTAAATCAGCCCTGGGGACAGGGGTCTGCTGGCAGCTCGTCCCTGGGCATCCCCACCAGCCCACCCCTCTCTTTCCTTGGCAGCCCGCTCCAAGAGCGTGATGAGCAGCGAGGCGGCGGGCGCCCGGCCGGCCTCCCCCAACCCGCTGGAGCGGCCCCTGAAGATCGGCTGGCTGAAGAAGCAGCGCTCCATCGTCAAGAACTGGCAGCAGCGCTACTTCGTGCTCAGGGGTCAGCAGCTTTACTACTACAAGGATGAGGATGATGCCAAACCCCAGGTAGGACGAGGCTGCTGGGCTTTTCTGGTCCTCAGTCTCTCCTTTCTTATGACTTTGCTCGGAGGGAAATGGTTTGGGATGAGGCTGGAGGAGGGTGTTGAAGAGATTTTCTGCCTTTGGGCAGTAACAGAGATTAAATATCCTGATCAGAATCGTCCATGCACTTAAATTCTTAAAGCACTTGCAAGCCCTGCTGGGGGCTTGGTCCGTCTGCGCCCAAGTAATGAGATGCTGGAAAAAAACCCACCAGTTGCCAACTAGGAAATTGCTGTCATTCTCCAAGTCAGCAGAAACAGGCTGGGGAGAAAAAGATCTCGGAACACCGGCACTTTCGTGACAGCAGGTGCAGCAATGGATGCACAAGACGATGGGAGCTTTGAGAAAGGTTTCAACCAGGCACTTGGTAGGAAAAGCATCGTTCTGGATGCTTCTGGGAACAAACAAGCAGGACTTTCAGCATAGCCTGGGTGTGAGGATCTGCTCGAGACAGACCTCATGGCAGGGCTGTGGGCTGGACAGACGACAGCAAAGGGCAGCTGCTTCCTTAGGACCTCTTGCCACAGGAGAGGGCAGCTGGATGGATAAGGAAAGGAACTCCCTCCACCCTCCGGGTTTGCATCCCATCCTGGCCCAGCCCCATCCTTTGCAGAAGGCTCAGTGGTGCAGATGCAGTTTGTGCTATTCAGCTGCCATCCCAGTCCACCCAGAGCAGCCAGAGGAAACCTGCCCCGCTGCCTTTCCTCTAAAGGAAAAGGCTTGAAATCCGCTGAACGCTCCGGTTCATGTCAGTCCTGGTGCTTTTTGTGATCCCCAGGAGAGCACAACGTGCACCCAGCCCTTTGTGCAAAACAGGGCTGTGATCACCCACTTGGGGGTGATTTAAATGTTTGTACCAGTGCCCGATGCCCGCAGCCCTCTGGCAGCATCAACCATCTTCAGCCCTTCTGGCTCGTAACCAGCCCTCTGTCTCACCTGTATAAACCTTTTCTCAGAGTGTGCATTGTCATACACTTGCCAGGAAGAAATCAGGTTCTTTTTCCAATTTATGTGGACAATGTTTTAGTTTTTCAACCATTTCCTCCGTACAGTAACTTACTTTTTGAATATCCACCGTCTTTTCCTTGTTTTGAGAAGTTCCAGGGAAAGGTTCTCCCCATTGCCTGAGAAGCCATTCTCTGTACAAATTGTTACTGGTAGCAAAAATAATCTCAAGATAGAAAACGCTTGTAAAGGAAAAGTGACCAGTAGATCCTTGAGGTGAAAGCACAGGGCTAAGCCCAGTGGGATCCAGGTCCTTTTTCTGGCTTTGCCCCGTTTCAGGGGCGACTTGGAGGAGCAGCCTCACTGGTTGTAAGTGTCATGTAGAAGCAGAAAGTGCTGTGAAAGGCTTATTGCTGTTCATGGTGCTTTTTGAAGCTCTTGCCATGACCCTGGTGCACCATCCTGGGTCATTTCAAAGCTCTCTGATCCCATCAACGACCCGGACGGATAGAGCTGCAATTCAGGCTTTTGGAGTGCTGACGGTCCTCGCTGCTCGCAGGAGCCCAGTGGCTTTCAGGAGGCTGAAATTGCTGAGAATCTTCATTTCTGTAGAGCAGCCTCATTTCCTGCGCTGGGGGGGGCCTCTGGTGCTGACTCACCCCTGCTCAGCCCCCATGGGCCCTGGCTGCTCCACACCCATCCTCTCCAGTGGGGACCAGCTGCCTGTGCTCACCACAGCAGCTGGGGAAAGGGAGGTCCAAAAGAAACAGCTGTTTTCCACTTTGCTTTTTTATTTTCTTCTTTTTCTCAACTCCTCTCCTGCAAACTTCGAGTTCGGTTTTTAGTTTTAAGTGATGCTGTGTTAAAGGAATAGTTTTTTCCTGCTCCAGTGTAGCAGAAACAGGATGCTCCAGTTTTTTGCCCAGTCCCTTCTCCTTCCACTCCCAACAGGGGCTAAAAACACATGAGAAGGGAGGAAAAAAGGAATGAGCAAAATAAACAGTTTTTTTACTCTGAGAATCACTTCATCAGAAAAACTGGCATTTAAGCAGCATCCCTTATCATTTGAAAAGTCATTACTAGTGTATATATGTAAATATATGTATAGGCCACCAGTTCCTGCACTCTGTTTGAAAGGAGGACTTCGATCCTCAGCGCTGGCACATGGTAGTCCCAGTCTCCCAGAGATGGGACACTGGTATTTGCAGCTCCTGCTCTGCTTTGTCCTAGGGCTGCCTGTCTCTCCAGGGAAGCACCATCAAGGAGGTGGCCAGCAACCCAGAGGAAGGAGGGAAATTTATCTTCGAAATCATCCCGGGTGAGGATGCTTCACTCCTCTTTGTTACACACTTTCAGGCTGGACTGTTCACTCAAAATCATTTGGGCAAGTCCTTTTGCTGGTTCTTCTACTGCCACTTCTTTTCAAAGTGCCCTCGGCGCTGCGTTGCACGGGAAAACTGGTGCCTTGCTTTCCATATTCACATGGCAGGGCTGGAGGAGGGCCCCGTGTCAGTGCCCATGTCCCAGGCCAAGGAGCTTTGCCAAGCTGCAACATGGAGCAGTTTCTGTTCCTTTCTTGCAGACCTTCAGCAAGGGTGAAACCTAAGAGCACTGCTCTTCGCAGCCAAATAAACAATAATGGGGAAGTTTGGGGCCAAAAGCATTTATTGAAGAAAACAAGAATGTGTCTTTCCTCCTCCAATCCTCTCTACAAATGATGAGTAAAGTTTGGTTGTTTTTTGTTTTTTTTTCCACAGGGTTCTCTGGAGACCAGAACCGCACAGGGCAGGACACCTGTGTGCTCATGGCTAATTCCCAGTCTGAGATGGAGGAATGGGTTAAATCCATCCGACGAGTGCTGGGGTCAGCATCAGGAGGTAATGTGGAGCAGGGACAGCTCTTGGAGAAGTCATTTCCTATCATATCTGCAGTGCTTTTGTGCAAGGTTTTCAAAGCTGGGCTCAGAAATCCTTGGAACTGGAAAAGGAAGCTGTTGTGATTGTAACCTGCAATGCCTTGGAAACCTACTCCTAGACCAGAGCCTGTGGTGTTGGGTCTGCTGCAAGCATGAGCAGTGTTAAGGACAGGGCAGCCATGCGTGGATGAAGATTTCTGGGCTGGTTTCAACCTCTTTTGCAAACTTCCTCATTGACTTATTGACCCCGGAAAACGTTGTTCTTGAAAACAACTTGTATTCAGGGATAAAGCATTGAAAAATCTTGCCTTTCACCTGCCAGTTTCCTTGCTTTGCTTTTCTTCCAGCTTCTCTTGCTTGGCCCAGCCCTTTTGCCCCCACTTTCTCCGCAGAGTCTGCCTTGGCCAGGCAACAGCCCTCCCTACAGGCAGGCAAGGCTTTATGGGATCCTTGCTTCCAGCCCCCTGGGACATGCCTTTATACCGTTACGAAATTGTGGTCAGGGAAGTATAAAACACGAATTGATCAGAAAGGTGCACACCATAAATTTGCCACCACAGGCAAAGCCCACAAAGGAGGCAGGAAAGGTCACTCCAGCCACTTTTCCTATAAGGATGAACTATCATAGAATCACAGGCTGGTCTGTGTTGGAAGGGACCTTCAAGATCATCCAGTTCCAACCCCCTGCCATGGGCAGGGACACCCTCCACTACACCAGGTTGCTCAAAGCCCCATCCAACCTGGCCTTGAACACTTCCAGGGATGGGGCAGCCACACCTTCTGTGGGCAACCTGTGCCAGTGTCTCAGCACCCTCGGAGGGAAGAATTTCTGCCTTAGATCTCATGGAAATCTCCCCTCTTCCAGTTTAAAGCCATTTCCCCATGTCCTGTCACTCCCCACCCTTGTCCAAAGCCCCTCTCCAGCTTTCTTGGAGCCCCTTTAGGCACTGGAAGGTGCTGGAAGGGCTCCCCGGAGCCTTCTCTTCTCCAGGCTGAACAGCCCCAACTCTCCCAGCCTGTCTCCAGAGCAGAGGTGCTCCAGCCCTTGGATCATCTCTGTGGCCTCCTCTGGCCCCACTCCCACAGCTCCGTGTCCTTCTTGTGTTGGGGCCCCCAGAGCTGAAGGCAGCACTGCAGGGGGGTCTCAGGAGAGCAGAGCAGAGGGGCAGAATCCCCTCCCTCGCCCTGCTGCCCACGCTGCTCTGGGTGCAGCCCAGGACACAGTTGGCTTTCTGGGCTGCCAGCGCACGGTGCCGGCTCATGGTGAGCTTCTCATCACCCAGCACCCCCAAGCCCTTCTCCTCGGAGCTGCTCTCCATCCATTCTCTGCCCAGCCTGTACTTGTGCTTGGCATTGCCCCAACCCATGTGCAGGACCTATCCAGACTTTCCCTATAAGGATGAACTCCTATAAGCAAGATCCACCAATGAAACAGGGCTGGGAGGCTCTTTAGCTCTCTTCCAAAAGAGCACTAACCTGAATGGTCATCCTGAGCCCCTCCTCCCTCCCTCTGTGCTCTGCCCTGACTATTTCTATTTTTACAGGGTCCATGTCCTTCAGCTGTATAGAACAAGCATGATGGAGCTCTGGTCTCCCATAGCTCCTGTGTTCGTACCAACCACAGCAGCTGAGACAAGCAGGTGCTGCCAGTTTGAGCTCACTGTGACCCTGCCACAGGCACAGAGAAGCATCACCTAAATGACCACACAGCTGGTTTTTGTCTGCAACCCTGGTGTTTTCTGCCTCTAAACTGAAACGTGCTGTGCCCTGGGGGAGGCAGCATTACTCATCTGAAATTAGGAATGCATGAGCCAGAAATTTTCAGGGCACTGCCCCACCTGGCTCTAATATTTAATAACAACTTCACATCTGATTCTCACTTAAACTTAGGAGGCTGCCAGTTTCTTCCAGCTACATAAAGTGACCTTATACAATAGAAAAATGTAAATTTATGGTAGTACACAGAGCCCTGAGGATAGGAGAGAAGTCAGGTGCTATGGAGCTGCGTTTTATGTCAATACACAGGTTAACAGCCCCCAAAACTTCATGCTTTAGGTTTTTGGCTTCAGTACAAGCTGAGGCAACGTGCACTTTTGAAGCAACACGCTGCACAGTAGAGGTTTTGGCAAGAGCCCCCCTGGAAGCAGCCCCAAGTGACCCAGCTAGTTGTGAGTTTGTTGCACACCAAAAAGCTGAGCAGCTGCAAAGTGTGAAGCAACTGCAAAAACATCTCCGTCATCTCAGAGGGGTTTTGCAGGGCTGGCTGCCACCCTCCAACAGCAGCCTGCTGGGGGTCTGGCATGGGTGTCACATTGGCCACGGGGAGGTATTCCCAAATTAACAAATCTGCCAGCTTGCAGTTAAATAAACAAGTCATTATCAGCTACCAAAGCAGAGAGGGGAAAAAAAAAGCTATTTGCTTTTACTGTGCACAATGACAGGTTTAAATTCATTATTTAAAAGTGTAAGCAAGTCATAAATGAAAAACCACCACGATCGGGCAGGTGCCAACAAGCCTTATGGTTCCAGATGAGAGCATTTACTTGCATTTTCCTGGTCTGGAAGATGCACAGGGATTATTTCAGCCTTCAGAGCACGAGGTGAACACATCACAGGCATTTCTGGGGCAAAAATATGGTAGAGACCCATAGGACCCTTTCCCATTAATATCCCAGGGTCAGTTCGAGTTGGGATTTGTGTGCTCTTACCATGCCCCAGGCTCCGAGGAGGAAGAGCTGGGATGCTGGCTGCTGCCTTCCCACCTTCAAGTTCTTCTTTTGCTGCGAGTTCAGGAGGAAAAAGCCGTTGCTCCGAAGGAAAGGTACCGCCCGCTGCGAAATACTGCTGCTCTTTGCACAGGGGAGTTTCTGGAGGGCGAGAGGAGAGGGGAAGAAAAGCACTTAAATCAGTAAGATTTCCAGCTCCAAAGCTCTGCAAGGCCGCTTTTCTTATTTCTTGGTGGTCTCCTGTGCTTTCTGTACCCTTCACCTTTGTGTGATGAGCTTGCCTTCTCTCCCTGCCCCCATGCATCAGCCTTTTTGCTGTTCCTGTCTCCCCCTGTACCAGCACCCTGCTCAAGGCAGGCAAAAGGCACAGCAAAACCCAAGGCTGACTGCTTGATTTGAATCATTTTGAGAACTGTTAATTATTTGGAGGAGGAACAAGGCTTCATTTTGCTGTTATTATTTTCTTTGGAAGAAGTGCTGCTTTCCCCTGGTTTGCAGGCTTCTTGTAGCTCCTTTGCTACCAGAAAAGCAGGTGCTGCTGTCACATTTGCACCTGATGCACTTGGGCAGGTAACGTGCCCCTTTGGCAAAGCTTTGGGGCTCCTCTGACCTCTCTGTCCTTTCCCTAGTGGTGTTCGGCCAGCGCTTGGCAGAGACCATGGCCTACGAGCAGAAATTTGGGCAGCAGCAGGTCCCCATCCTGGTGCAGAAGTGTGCCGAGTTCATCCGGGAGCACGGCGTGAGCGAGGAGGGCATCTTCCGCCTCCCCGGCCAGGACAACCTGGTGAAACAGCTCAGAGACGCGTTTGATGCTGGGGAAAGACCATCCTTTGACCGGTAATACTGGATTCCCCCTCTCCTACCCAACTAGGTCTCACATACCCCAAAATCTGCCTCTCTAACCCCCCGGAGACCCCAGCAGTGCCCTGCGGGAAACTTGGACCCTCCAGAAGGGCTTGACAAGGAGAGAGGATTCAGCAGAAACCCCATATGGGGGCAAAAGCAGTATCAGAGGGTGCCAAGATGAGATTAATGGAAACAAAGGAAAGCTTTTAGGAAAATCCTGGCCCCACACAGCAATTATCATTTGCAGGAGCAGCCAAGGAATGAGGCAAAGGAAGAGCCTACATAGCCCATCAACTAAGGACAGAGGTTTAGAAAAAGGAGAGCAAGCAGAGGATCACAAATAAGCTCAGAGAACACCCTGACACACACAGTAGAAGTTACTTCTTTCACCACCAGCAAGGAAAAAGGGAACAAAAAGGATACAGAAAACATCAAGTCATGATATTTTCCTCTCATTACTTCTCCAGACCTCCCCATATGCAGATGGGAGCGAGATTCTGGCTGCTGCGAGGCCGCGTCCTCCCGACCCCCTTCCTCTGCAGGGCTAAAGGGAAAAGGCAAAGTCCCTACAGCTGAGAGAGCCGACTGTAGGGCTCAGAGAGGTTTTGGAGAGAGACATTTGCTGCTGCCCCCTCTGCCACGTCCTGTGCAAAGGGAGAAGGAAGGCAAACCCCCGTGCATCCCTTTGCAAAGCCCTGCCTTGATGGCTGGCAGACCAGCTGCCCCTGCAAGTGCCTCGTTATCTCCAAGGAGGTTTCCCACCTGTCCCTACCCCCAAGTCAGGGTTTAACCCCTTGCTTTTGGCCCCGGTTGCATAAGGCATTGCCCAGTCTCCCCTACTCACTCGTGCAGGCTGCTCCAGGGCTTTACTCACCAGTTTGCACTGGTGAAAACAGTAAACCCTGTGCTGGGGGAAAGGAAAAGTGAGTCCAGCCTTTTCACGGCACCAAAAGTGAGGCTTTTGGGTTTGATTCCTGCCCTGCCCACCGCAGCAGAGACCAGGAGCGCCCAGGCTGCTGTGCATGTACGAGGCTGCTTGATGCCAGCTGTGGTGATGCCCCGTCTATTTGGACCCAGGAGCTGCCCCAGGTGGCATCACCTGAGCTCTGAGAGCCGCCAGGAAAATCTGGGGTGCTTGTGGGAGGGAAGCACCCAAACCCAGGAGCTTCCCTGGAATTCTGTGCAAAACAGTTTGCCTGAAGAGCGTGCAGGGGCTTCGTCTGTGTATTCACAGGCCAGTCCCTGGCTGCAAAACTTTTCCTGCTTTTACCCAGCTTTATGCAGCTTTGTTAGGACAAACCCAGCCCTTTTACTTAAATAATGCCTGTGCTGTGCCAGGTAGAGCCATAGCCGTTCTGGGAGCATAACCATCCCGACCGTTGCTTTTACAGCTGAATATTTCTTGCTTTCTGGGTGCCAAAGTCCTGCTGAGAGCCCTCCTGTTGTAACCTGTATGGGGGTCATAGGAAGGTGAAGCAGCTTTTTTTATTATTTTTTTGTAGAACTGTGTTTTGCAGCGGGGCACAGCGAGGGAGTTTGGCCCTTTTCCCAGCGCCCGGCGATGTTAGTCATGCACTTCAACCAAAACATTTTCTTAGTGAGGAGGAAGGCAAATAGTGGGGTTTCCAGCGACCTGAATGATGCAAGATGCTGGCTTGACCTTCAGCACCTTCTTTGCACCCTGTGTGGGTTTGCACAGGCACACTTGCCTGCACAAGTGTGGCAGGATTGGATGGGCAGCATTGCAAAGCTGCTGTTGCAGCCCAGGCAGCCAGGATGCCTAATGGTGTGTATTGGCAGGCCCTGCAAAAATATGTCTCTGAAGAAGTTGCTCTATGGTTATGTGTCTTTGTTAAAAATAATAGTATTTTAAAAAACCCGACCAATCCTAAAAATAAATGACCTGAGGCATTTTTGCTGAAAGTTTATAACAGTTTAGCGACTTCAAGGTAGGTCAAATTAGCGGCTTACGGTCTTGACAGTGTCCTTTTGACATAATGTAAACTATATGGTATGCAAAGCTGCAAACATCTGTCCCAGCAGAACATCTTCAGTAATTGCTGTTAATCTTGGAAAGCCCAGGCAAGCGTCGCCGGCTCCGCGCGGAGCGGGAACGCCGCCCAAACACGTGAACGCCAGACATTGGCGTGCGGATCCGCGTGAGTCGAACGGGCTGGGAAGGCTCAGCCCAGTTACGGACACTGGGGACCTGCCAGCCCCACGGTGGGGAAATCTCCACCAAGCATGGACTTTCCTGCCAGCTGCGGCCATTCCCTGGCTCGGGGTGCCCTGTGGATCCCCCCAGCTTGCTTTAGCATCTCTTTACATGTTTCTGTCTCCTGCATCTGTACACAGAGCTTAGGTATAATGGAATCATCGAATCACAGACTGGTTTGGGTTGGAAGGGACCTCAAAGATCATCTACTTCCAACCCCCCTGCCATGGGCAGGGACATCTTCCACCACACCAGGTTGCTCCAAGCCCCATCCAACCTGGCCTGGAACACTTCCAGGGATGGGGCAGCCACAGCTTCTCTGTGCAACCTGCTCCAGTGCATCACCACCCTCAATGTAAAAAATTTCTTCCTTAGATCTCATGGAAATCTCCCCTCTGCCAGTTGAAAGCCATTGCCCCGTGTCCTGTCACTGTGATCTCATGCTCCCAGAGCAGGGGAGGGTTTGCTCACCAGCTGGGTGCGAGTTTCACGTGAGTGGCTCTTTGCACGTTGCAGGGACACCGATGTGCACACCGTGGCCTCTCTGTTCAAACTCTACCTGCGGGAGCTCCCCGAGCCCGTGGTGCCCTGGATGCAGTACGAGGATTTCCTGCTGTGCGGTCAGGCGCTGGATGCGGAGGAGGCAAAGGTAGAGATGTGTTCGTTTCTCTCCTTCTGGCCTTAAAATTAGCTGTGCTTCAGTGCCAGGACTTTGTGAGCTGGAGACACCAGGTGCATATTTTAGCTGTGCATTATGAGCTGTGCAATTACTGAGCTTCGAAATCTGGGAGGAGAGAATTAAAAAATTAAAAAGATAAAATCTCCCAAAGCCCACAACGTGACTTCACAACATGGGTTTATCCATTTTAAAGCTTAAATTTCTGGAGCAGATCTAAAAGCTGCTCAGCACTTCTTTTCATTGAAGCCTTGCAGCAAACAACGAGTGTGAAAACCCAGGGAGGAAGGAAACCCAACCTCCTGCAGCCCCCCCCAGCCTCAGCTGAAAGCGGAGCTGGCAGAAGGCTCTGGGTGAGACCGAGGAAGGAAGTGGGATTTGCAAGAGAGAGAAGTGAGAAACAGATGGGAACTGTCTTTTCCTAACTGTATATTTTGTGGAAAAGAAGCCACACTCCCCCCAGGGAAAAAACAATTCACTGATGCTGTTCCTAAACCCAGGAAAAGAAGGCAGATCTCCTCGGTGGCATGAGCTCTGGGGACAGCAGTGGTCAGCCCTGTGTTTCAAGGGCAAATGTTTCTTGTAGGTTGTTTCACTTCAGGATCTTTGGAGTTACAAATGTCCTAGAAGTTTCTGTGCAAGAAATGCAGGCAGATGAGGCATGACCCGCTCAT